GAAATAGAGAGACACATAAAACACAATCTCCAACTTCAAGAAGCTCTTACAGGTTGGAACTGCCACAGAACTCCAAGAGAAAAGTGAGCCGTGGGAAAGGGAGGAGATGCAGGCAGGAGTAAATGAGGTACCAAGAAAGGAAACAAAAGGCACAAGTGCAGGAATGAAAACGACACTGCAGGCGATGATGGGGAGTGAGTGGGGCCACTAAGTAGACTCCACCTCCCAAAGCAGAGAATTGAGAGAAAGTGAAAGTGAAGAGTGAGAAAGTGAAGGTAAGAAGCAGGAGAGTCTGGTGGATTAAAGAACCTATTTACTCACTTGGAAGGTGAATGTGTGGGACAACCAACTAACATTGTTATAATTCTGAGGGTGGGCATCATAGAAGGTACTTATGTTGCAGCTAATTTGCCTAGTGGAAATAAACTAGCTGGCTCATGGCAGTGCAGTTCATCATCAAGATCATTAAGGAACTATTCCACTACATGCCATCTTTTCTCATTACCACAACTTTTCCCAGGCATTTTCATTACCAATATTAGCCTTCAAAAAGTGCATGAAATTCATAATATGGCCGGCATCGGGAAAAACAAAGTGAGCTTTATTAGGCATTTTTTTTAGATTTTCTTAATAGCAATGATAGAATATGACAGGTATTTTAACAAATGGTGGTGCTATCAATTGTGTGAATTAGAATATATTAAACAATGCTTCTGGGAGGCAAAGGAAGTTATTAAAGAACACTTAGGCAGGTAAAAAAATGCCTGGAAAAAATGTCCCCCTCAGGCCTGGGGAAACCAGCTAATAGACAATATGGGGAGTTGAGGGGAGGTGCATTCAAAGTAATTTTCTTTATGATGAAAATGTTTTAACGACTCATTTTATTCTCTTGTTGCAGGCAGGTAGAAGCCTTTAGTATATCATAATAAAATGTGCTCAAGATGGACATTTTGTATTATATATAGTATAAATAAGAAACACCAGTTTGGGGAAAATATGGTAAGATTCTTCCCTTCAGTAGTTCTATTTTCTTTTTATTATTATTATTATGCTTTAAGTTCTGGAGTATATGTGCAGAACGTGCAGGTTCTATTTTCACAAAATAAGAAATAGATGCATCACAAGGTGACTTTGAGAATCCCAGACATCAGTAGAAAGTAGACTAAATATGAACCGAGCTGGGCTTTTTCAAAGCCTTAAGCTGTCATTCTTTCACTAGTCTAATGTAGTTGAATTGCACGTGGGATTTTTTTCTACTTATCATCTGTATGACCTCAGACACTGCCTAACCTCTCTGAACTTCCAGGTGCCCATGTTATAAAATCTGAATAAGAAAACTTACCACATATAGGCTTGTTGGGAGGATGAAATAAAATTAATACTATGATGTACACAAATTGTTTAGTGTATCACTTCACAGCCCCAAGTATGTGCTATTAAGAGTAGATACTTATTATCATTGATATTTCTGGTGATATGATTATTAATTTACTGTTAATATGTTGTATTTAATCAGAAGACCTATGTTTCAGCCCCAGATAAGCTTACCAGCTTACTATTTCCTCATCTATAAATGGCAATATTATGACGAGAATAATGTCTGCTTTGCCTAAATTACAAAATTATGGGAAGCTCCAAAGGTTATGTATGTGCAAACTATAAATGGTTAAATGAATTAAGGTATTTTCTCCTCTACTATATATACCCAAATGAAAGAAACTCAAGGGTAAGCTACTCACCTCCATTTAATGCACCATTAATATAATACTACTCACTCTATTAGCACAAATAAAAAAGGAATATATACAGGTTTTCAGTAACGGTGACTTACTGTGATATTGTGAGTATGACTCTTTACAGTTAATATAACATCTATATCTTACTGTTATAGAGATAACTCTTGCAAACCTCTAGCAGTACATACATAAATCTCTCAAAATTAAAACATGACTCTCTACTAAAAAATGTGAACATAAATAGACTATTTCTGCCACTAAATCATGCAATGGAGCCATATATTTACTAACTATAACCTTGATACAAAGATTAATATAAGAGCAAACATATTTTTTAAAAATAATCAAAAAATTGGGTTGCAGTTAAGGAAAAGAAAAAAATTATCTAAATTGTTGGGTAATATCTAACTGAATTTGGAAGTTTATCAAAGTTAATTTTATATTTTTCACTTGAATTACAAGAAGTCTGGATATATATAAATATATGTGTATATATATTATATACATATATACACACACACATAAATCTCTTTCTGGTTTTTTTGTTTGTTTTTTGACAGGGTCTCACTCTGTCACCTAAGCTAGAATGCAATGGTGTGATCTTAGCTCACTGCAGCCTCTGCCTCCCAGGGTCAAGTGATCCTCCCACCTCAGCCCCCTGAGGAGCTGGAACTACAGGCACATGCCACCACACCCAGCTATTTTGTTGTTGTTGTTGTATTTTTCGCAGAGATGGGGTTTCATGATATTGCCCAGGCTGGAACTCTGGATATTCTAATGTGACAAATGTTGCTTGTATAAAAAGTTACAGAAGGCCTGTCCAGAGCTCAATGGCGGATGGCTTGACTGGACGCCAGTGGAAATTACAGCTCTGATTTTCACCAATTTAACCCTCCACCCCTATTTTTGGACAGGAGCCAAGTAAAAGTTATTTCTTCTCAACATGCGGAAGAGGAGAGATGGAATTTAAATATTCTCCATCACCTGTATCTGATAGCTCGTGATTTCAAGAGCAAAGATTTGGGTTAGAGAAAAGGCAGCCTTGGGAAAGTACTACAAGTAAGCTGTGGAGAGAGTTAAAATATGTTTTATCTGTGCATAACTAACCTACATATCATTCCTTGTTGATTCCTTTGTTCTTTTTTTTCCCCTCGACCTGGAATTTAAGATTATGAACAGGATGTGATGGAGATGAGGGTAAACTCAAAAGGGGAATGACTGCTAATACGATTTATCCAAACATTATTAGGATGATTGGTTAGGAAAAAAAGTGGACAGATATTGGAATGCAAGGATGGCTTTGGTCTTGAGATGTAAAAGCAAAAATAGGCTTGAGGATTCATGATGTGTATCTTATACCTCCTGCCCCCACAGCTAATTACAGGTGACATAGGATTTGGTAGAACAGGACAGTCTGTGATTTGTCTGCTTGATTATCAACTAACATTCTCAACTTCTTCTTTCTATCTGTAGTAATTATTCCTATCTGATATATTTCAGTGTAAAGCCCCTTCATAAATGGTAAGGCACATAACAATTAGTTTAAAAGGCTAAACTCCTAAGAGGAGTTCAAGATAGGGGAGGCAACATATCTGTGTTTGCTAGAGGGAAAAACTTAGCTAACCTCTGAGAGCAATCTTTTTTTTTAAGGCAGTTCAAAGATCTGTTTCGTTTCTGTGATTTTTGACATTGAGGATGAATGTCTAAAATATTTACAAGAGAAACTGACTAGGTTTTTATTTGAAAAAAATACAACAGATTATAGCAAAAAGATTAAGGGCGAATGAATGTACTGGTCTCTATGATTCTGGAATAAATAAACACTGTTCCTTGGAAAACACTTAAAAAAGAAAAAATTCTCTCTCAATCAGGAAATGGAAAGACATTCAAGCTCTCAACTACGTAAAGTTGTAAACAGTGTGGGTGTGAAACAGCAGTAAAGAACAACGAGACCCTGTGAAGTTTCAACAAGAGGAGTAGGTGTATAACAAATAATAAAAATGCAAGATACAGTTATAAAAATAGAGAAGAGTGTGTATCCATACGAAATAAATCATGCAATAGAGAGAAGCACTAATCTACAATCATGTGCACAGAGATCAAATCAAAATATTCAAAATTTAACAAAAAATGAAATGTCACCCAAATTCTCTAAAATAACATGTGTATGAATAAAAAGAATATCCACAGTCCAGGATGTAAAACTCATGTGAAAAGTGTACCCTATGAGCCAAATTCTCCAAATAAACTGGTGCCCCTTGGAAGAGAAGGAGCACCTCCCCACCTGGGATGGAGGTGCAAATCAGCTGGCAGTGATTTCAGTGGAAACTCTGCACCCACAGAGAGGCCTGTGTGTCTTTGTTTTACACCTGCTGAATGCAAAGAGCAAGGCTCTGAGGTTTAGGAAAAGCAGTCGTCCCTTCAAATCTTGCACAGTCAGGGTCTAGGGTACTCAACATCTTGAACATGATTGGCTTTTGCCAGCAGCAGGGTCAGGAAAATGCCCATTTCTCATCTCTCTGTCTAGGCTTTCTTGGCTCAGTCTCTGTCTGGTCTTGTTATTTACTTAGTGTTAGACTTTTCTGTATTTATAATTCCCAGCATGGAGAATGGAGCTTTTTGGAGAAAAGATGTTATTTAGATTGTTTTACTCATTTAGGTTAAAAAAATCACATAGGGCTGTACTTGCAGCTCCTTAGGATATAGTTATATATACACAAAAAATGAAAACTGATATTTAAAATCACAAGTTTACATTTAGGAACAAAGGGAAGATGTGTTGTCAATAAATCAAAATGGAAACTATTCTGTGTAAGAAGAAATCATATCTGAGATACATTTGTATTAAAGATGACAAAGACAAGTAACAGATAAGAGAGGAAATCTTGATATGACTAAGAAGATACCGATACTTGTCCATGTGCCAAAAGAGGTAATATCTATGAAACAATTCAAAACAATAAAGACTTTTTAAGATAAAGGAAATCTTTTGGAATGGTACAAATGAGATATACTTTCTACTGCTTATATACAATATGTACATTTAGAAAAAGGTATATTCAAATATTTAAGGATGAAGTAACAGAAAATATTTTTTAAATGAGGATCAAGGCTTAGATGAATTTTATCAGCCCAGCGAACATATCCAGAAATAAAAATAATTCTTTTGAAGAAATAAATAGAAACTATTACTATTAACAAAATTGTTCTTTTACTATTCTACATGGTTTACTTTCTGGTTCACATTTTCAAGAAGTTTCTTACCTGGGTTGACTGTTCACCTTTTCATGTTTTCCATTGAAGTTCAAACTACAGAGGTTTTTTGATTTCGAATGTGAAGAGTCTGATTCCAAATTTGCCTGTGTTTGTTCTCTCAAACGATCATGAAGTGTTGCCTCCTTTTTCAAGTTCATGTCTGAATACGGGCAGCCAAAAGCACTGGTTTGTGTAAAAATGAGAGCACAGTCATCAGTATATAGTGATAAATCAGGGGTCCATTGTCATTCGAGCAGACTTACATCTAATATTTAACAATTGCACAGAAACATTCTTCTTTCCCTGAGCACACTGAAATAACAGTTTGTTTTCGTATTGCCTTTTCAGAAAATCTCAGGTTCTAGAACCACAGACACTGGTCAACAAAGAATTATAGATAGATTCATCAGCACATACAGCATTTACAATTTTAGAAACTTAAAAATCTAAGAATAGCATACAGATGTATTTCCAATGGAACAATGCAAAAGTCACATAACACTTAACTCAGTTTGTATCCTTAATATGTATTCCCTGGTTTGACTGTATCAGAAAAGACTATGGGTAACTGAGTATATTTGCTGATATCAGAGAATACTGTGTTTTCGTTTCTTAATATTCATGTATGCAGAAATACTCTATCTGCAGTTCCGCTTAATCCTCTGGAGCTTTGCTGGGAAGTTTTGTGCTGGGGTGTGAAAGGACACCTTGTAGGTGAGAGAGGAGAGGCCCAAGTCCAGGTCTGCTGAGTCTGTTATCTCCCCTCACAAGTCAAGGCTGAGTCCTGAGTCCTGGATGTTATCAGAGCCCAACAGCAGGCTATGGGCAGAAGGATCTGCCAGGGCCAATGACCTGGTTCCTTCTGCAGGCTGACGGGCTGTCTCCGTTAGATCCCCGTGCCCACGTCCCTGTCTCCAAAGAGGTCCCAAACCTCTGCCGCTGCTAGAACTGAGGCAGCTACACCAGGGAAGACACACCCAAGACAGGTCACCCGTACATTACCCTGGGGGAGGTACTTCCTGCCAGAGCTTCAGAGATTCTCTCCAGTGAAATGAGAAAAGGAGATCCAACTCATAAGGGTTGTTGTGACCCTGAGAAATCACAAACACATGCCACACACACACACACACACATCATGAAATGGTAGCTGTTATTGCCATCACAGTGTTATCATCGGCTACACCTAGAGGAGCACATGGTCAAATGCATCAATATCGAGGCAGTTGATTCTTTTTTGAGCACAAGTTCTGGTCCACAACTTTATCATGAGTCCAGCAAAGATAATAAAAATAGATTGGATCTTCTGGGGAAGGCCACATGCATTCTAACCCCAAAAGGACTTTAGTACCAATATCTAGAATGGACTCTGGAACTGGGGACAGGATGGCTAAGATGGTATCAGCCTGGCCCAGCATGATCTATACCTGTATCAGCAACCTTTGCTACAAAGAGAAGGGCGCCTTTACATGCATGTTCTGTAATTTGTAATAATCAGTATTGATCTATTGGTTTATTAATCTATTCAGGTATTGATTCTACAATCCATAAGCATCTGCTACCTGCTAGGTACTTTAGAGAATATGAATTCAGTGAAGAAGTTAAGACACATGTACCAAAAAGAATAATTTATAATAAGAATTAAAAAGCTACCCCTATTGAATGTATGCTATAGGTCCACTATAATACAAGGTGCTTTACATGTATTATTTCTGATGAATATATATTTTTGGCTGAATACCAAAAGGTATTAGCATATTTATTTTACCGGTAAGACAATGGGCTCACACAGCATAAGCAACTTTCCCAAGGCCTCATGGCACTTCCTTGGGAAGTCCTGAAACAAATCACTTAACTATTGGCACTAATCAGGCTGACGAAGGGGGACATGGTTTTTAACACCATCCAAAAAAGAAAATATGAAGGAAGCCATAGCATAGTCCTTGTGCAGGGAGACCCAGAGGCAGGCATTTACAGACTAATGCAGTCTTGGTTTGCCCTGGTTGCTGGCGGAGATCAGACCAGCATACGCTTCAGTCCTGGGATGAAGCACCGTTCCCAACAGCAGCAGAGCAAGAGTGATCTGGTTAAGCTGCACCATATGGGATTTAAGGAAAATTTCAGGAAGAACTTTCTGTAGGCAAAAGTTGAAAGGCATTAGGCTAACCTAAGAGAGACTGAGAAATATCTTTTTCAAACACAGTGGAGTTTTCATTAAGATACTATGACTCAGAAGTTTTGCTATCCATCTAATACACACTCCCAATTCGAGTTTTTTAAATGATCCTTATAACTACGAATTACATTTTTTGTAATTTCATGTCACCACCCCTATGTGGTTCATGCTACAAGGCACTAATGCTGCCTCTTCCTAAGGCTTATCTGTCCGGCATCTGTAGACAGCGACCACAGACCCCTCCACAGTGAGCTGTCATAGTCATCAGTGCTTGCTTATGTCGAGAGATGTTCTGTTTCCCTCAGTCTTCATTCATAAATCAGTCTCTCTGGTCACTCAGTCATTCACCTATTTATAATTTCCTTCTAGTTCCTTTTTTGTCTCTCTGGTAGTAAGGAAGGCAAAATCAAATGGACCCCCAGAGCATTGCTAGAATGGAACAATTCCTGATTCTATGAGGCAAGTCATGTGACTTGTCTGCAACATTTTGAACCTCATAATGTGGGTTCTGAGAATCTGCTGTGACCAAGTTGCAACACTGCGCTGACTTGGTTCTTTGCAGAGAAATAGTTACATTAAGGAGATGGCATCCCAAACTTTTGCCTGCCTTCTTGCAAACTCAGACTCTTACTGATGCTCATGTGCATGCATGTATGCATGCATGTGTGTGTGTGTTTGAGAGACGTACGATTTTGTATAAATCTATTCACATTGAAAAAAAAAGAAGATGAAGTGGATGTCCTAGGTATGATAAAACCACTTTAAAACTACTTTTGAAAGCTTTGGATTTAGCCAAATATTGGGGAAGTACGGTTCTGGCATAGTCTCTTCAGAAAATATTTGACCTAAGCTGAAGTTTCTATGACTTAAAGTTGTGTTGGTCAAAGTAAACTGTCAGTGTCTGATTGGCAGGGAGTAATATATTCAAATTCCAGTTGGTTGATTATGGATGGAGACAAGCAAGCTTAGAAACTGCAGGCTGAGAGGGGAGTGCTGAGCCGCACCATCTCCGCTGGAGTCCTGGCTCTTTTGATGGAGAAGAGGATTTCTCCATTCCTCCTTAACTCACAGAAGAATCTGTCATTTGCAGGAAAGGAAGAGATGGCAGCAGCTATTAGCTTGACCCACACAAAATTGCAGTTTTTAAATGTCAAAGACAGTTGAGTATCAGAAATTTCCTATGGTTCTACCAAATAATTCACCAAAAATGTCAGCCCCAACCAACCTTATCAACAGTGAAGCAGGTGAATAGAGGATATATGCTAAATAAACAAAAAGTTGCCAGACTGTTGCAGACAAACTTTTAAAAGAAAAACTTTTTGACACACAACAAGTAGTCCTCCTACTTTATGATGGAAGGAAACAGAGTGATTACAATTTAAAATACTAGTTTTGTTTTAAGAATATGGAAGCATAATTTTGAATATCTGATGACAAATGAAAAAGTAAATTGTACTAATGCTAAGAGCAGCATTCCTGAATATGTTTCTTTCTGTCTCTGAGTTTTAATGAGGTTAGGGTTTGCAAAGTAGCAATATTGAGCTGCTGAGGCTGGACCCCTGCATTTCGGGTGGGGTCCAGGAGGCTCCTCAGACTGAATCTCCTCTCCCGGTTTCCATGGCAGGGGTACCTGATTCCACCAGTTGGTACAGTTTCCCTGTATTCCAAGGACTTATTCTGATGTGAGGCCACAGGTAATCCATTAAGCCCAGTTCTCCATTTTAAAGTCCAATGACAGCTGAAGCAGTGCCCAGGTCTGATGTCTGCACGAATGCCATGTTCAGAAGCCCTAGTCAGCCTCGTGGGGTCTGGTTCCTCTAACTCAGCATCCACCTTGATCCCTGTTTCTAAATGCCTTGCCCTCTGCTTTGACTAGACTCAGGTGCCTTCCTGGTATGGACACTCTAAGTTCTTACTTTGTTTTTACCATCCCCTTCCCATGACACAATTTCTCCCTCTTAATCTTAAACCTAGGATGTGTGGCTTCATTTCCCAGATGCCACCTGGCCAGTCTTCTCTGTGCTTCTCACCCTGAATTACTCCCTGCCAGGTGCTGTGCCCACCAATCGGGATCCCTCCCTTCCTCTCAAACTCTTCCCATGTGGCTCTGATTCCAAGAGTCTAGACGGTGATTACTGTTGCCAAACTCCTTGGATACCAGATTCTGCACTTCAACTATACTCTCTTCTGGCATCCACAATGTTTCATTTTCTCATACCCAGACAGGAGACTTGATTCCCACTTCTCTCTGAGAGCCCTGTCCTGCTAAAACGGTGGGTGGTGCTCTGTCACATCCTGGAGATGGACAATTCACAGCAGGAGGTTATAACCAAGTTGTCACGACTTACCTAAGGGTAGCTTCCCAGCCTGTATGCGGCTACACCCTCAGGTGACCGGGGGGCCCCGGGGCACCAGAGTCCCAGACCAGTCCTTCCAGCCTCCAGCAGCCTCTAGGCTCTAAGCCCCCTTTTGTTCCCAAACACTGATAGTCATTTTTTCTCTGTGATATGACATTTAAAAAGTTGGAAAGCATGACAAATTTAAGCAAAACGGCAAAGATGCAATAGCTTCTTGAGTGCTGTAGTTCAAAACATAAATAAATAACCCAGAAGTCAGCAGTATTTTGGGAAGAGTGTCAAGTCATTGACAACCTTTCTTGTGATCCTGAAAAGTAAAGTCACCCGAAATAGGCAAGTATCTCCCAGGAGGGGCTCAGATGTGGAAACGTGGCTTCCCATAGCCCAGGAATTAGACAGGCAGACTGTAAAGCACTCTTTAAATGCAACTAACTCACCCCTCCACGAAGCCTACAGTATTTTATAGTTTAATCTCAAGTATTTTGCTAACCAATTATATTCTTTTCCTTCAAGAGGTAGAAAAGACAAGACGGAAGAGTCCTCTCTTAACTGAGAGGCCAGATTCTAACAGGTACTGTGTCCGGGTGGGTCGGGGCATCTCCATGTGGAAGCCTTGATGGAGGAGAAGGTCGGAGGCCTCCCAGAATCAACTG